TCAAGTTCCCATCTGGTTAATGGGATCAATAGCTTCCCCACCCAGAGAAGGAAACAGATGAAGGGGGTGGGGGGAGCACGGCACCCGCACTGAGCGCACGCAGGGCGCAGGGTCAGCCCCTGACCCCAGGGTAGGTGCCATGTGTTAATCTACTGGTCACTGAGTAACTCTCCCAGACTCTGTCCTCAGTGGCCGGCTCCACATGCTGTACCTGCTGAGTGTCCTGTTTTACTTCAGGAACCAGGGCTTGGGAGGCCAGGGGGCAGCAAAGTGGGCATCAAGTGGGGATGGCCACCACCTCTGAGACGCAAGGGCCAGCATGAGGCACCAGGCAGCAGGCGGGCCACGGGAGCTGGGGACCCACTTGTGCAGCCGGTGCAGGGACCAGCTGCTTTCCAAGGAGGGCTGATCGCAGTCCGATTGCGCGGGATTCATGCCTCCTGGGTAGAGGCCCAGGACCCGGGACCCAGGGCCACCAGGGGCCACCCATCCACCAGCCGCTCCCTGGGAGCCTTTCCCACAGCAAGAAGCTTCACTCTTAAAACCCAAACACCAAACTCACTGCCATTGAGTGGATTCTGACTTACAACCACCCTCATGGACAGGACAGTACTGGCCCTGTGGCTTTCCACAGCTGTAACTCTATGGGAGGAGAGAGCCTCCTCTTTCTCCCTTGAAGCAGCCAATGGTTTTGAACTGCTGGCCTTATGGCTCGCAGTCCAACACAGAGCCCACTATGCTTCCAGGGCGCCTCACAGTGTCCTCCCTGAAGCCCCACCCCGCCACCCATTTAGCCTCATCTCTTCCCTGCTTGCCAGCCAGTTAGAGAGAAAGCAGGAGCAGCGGCGTTTGAAGGGAGTGCCCGGAGCCCCCATATTTCAGGGGAACCACTCAGGGGCCTGGTAACTTCCCCGCTTTCTTCTGCCCCAACAGACCCATTTGCATTAAGGATTTTCTTGCAAGATTGTGGGCAAAGAAAGGGCTCTAGAACCCGCAAGTCAGAGCTGGCGCCAGGCTCCCAGGTCTGCCAGTCCTCGCCACCCTCCTCCCCTCCACCTCTGCCTCTCACTCCCCCTGCTCCTGCCCAAGGGGCTACCTCAGCGCCCGAGGCTCTGAGAACTCTTCGTAACTGTGCATGGAATCACTGTAGGATTCCCGGGAGCCCAGGGGCGGTGGGCGGACGGAATACTGGTGGACGGAAGCGTTGGGTTGGGATGTGGTGTAATACGGGGGCGGGATGCTGTTGCTGGTCTCGCTTCGGTAGTCGCTGTCCCGATCGTCCACTGCACTGTCGGGATCATCATCTGGAAGGGAATGAAAGGAGGAGGGGAGGGTGAGGAGGACCAGGAGAACGACGGCACGCCGCGGGGGCCTGTGCAGACTCCCAGGCTGAGGGAGGCTTCACTGACTGCTAACCCAAGAGGAGGAACTTTGCTCAGAACAGATGAAGGATTACGGGTCATGTTAATAAAGGCATATGCTTTAGAGTAAGGGAGGGGAAAGCTCTGCTTTGGACCAACCTGGACCTTGAAGTTCAAGGTAGGATTCGAGGGAAGCCTTATAATGTGAGGAGGGAAAGGACAAACTAGAGGGTATCTTTCAGCTCAACAGGAGGAGGAGGGCCTTTGCCAAATGGGAGGCTCCAAAAATGAGATGGGGTTTTGCATCAGGCAGTGAGCTCCCCCTCAAGGGAGGTAAGTATGCAAGTGCTCGGGGGAAGCTGGAAGTCTCTCAGGCAGAACTCAGGTAGTTCCTGAGGATTCAAGAAGTAGGGACATAGACCCAAACTCACATCAGCAGAAGCAAAGAGATTGTGGCAAGGCAGTGGCTCCCTCCTTCCAAGGGAACTACACTCTTAATTTGGCGAGGCCACCACACATCCAGAGGCCATTACCAAAATGTAGCATCAGGACGTTTTGGTTTGGTTTTTCTTAGTAAAAAAAGATGTGTTATGTTTTGTTCAAGTTATTTTTGAGTTACTCGAAATCTAAAGCCATGCACCTGGGCAGCAGGGGGTCAGGAACTGTCCACTCGTTCTAGGCCTTTTCGAGCCTTGGGGTTCTTTTTCCAAATGTAGTGGAAACCCACGCAGCAAAGCATGCCCGGTCACTCGGTGACCACGTGGGCAGGCCATCTTTACTGTCTTCTTCCAATCTATTCTGCCACCGTTAGCATCAACTCAACACGCTTCTTTCTTCTTCCCTCCCATCTCTGGTAGCCACAACTAAATTCTGGTTTCTATATATGTATTTGGAGCCCTGATGGCATAGTGGTTATGCATTATGCTGAGATCTGAAAGGTCAGCAGTTTGAAACCACCTGCTACTCTCGGGAAGAAAAACTGAGCTTTCTACTCCGGTAAAGAGTTGAAGTCTTGGAACCTCACAGGGACAGTGCTACCTTGTCCTAGAGGGTGGCGATGAGTTGGAATCGATGGCAGTGAGTTTGGGTTTGCATATGTGTTTAAGGAGCTCTGGTAGCACAGTGGGTAATGGGTTAGGCTATCAACTATAAGACCAGCAGTTCGAAACCACCAGCTGCTCTCTGGGTGAAAGATGAGTCTTTCTGCTCCCATATGATTTCCTGCCTCCAAAACTCACAAGGGCAATTCTACTCTGTCCTATAGGGTCACTAGGAGTCAGTACTGATGGGCTAGCTGTGATTTTGTTAGTTCAGGTGGCCTAGTGAATGGCACGTTGGGTTACTAACGCCGAGGTCAGCAGTCTGAAAACAGCAGTTGCTTCTTGGGAGAAAGACGAGGCTCTGTAGTCCCCTCAAGATTTACACCCTTGGAGATGCACAGAGACAGTTCTGCCCTGTTGCACCCTGTCAGCAGGGGACTTTTTAATACATATATTTAAGGGTCCCCCGGTGGCACTGGCAGGTAAGTGTTGAACCAGTAACTACAAGGTCACAAGTTTGAAACCACCAGCCCCTTGGTGGGAGAAAGATGAAGCTCTCTGTCCCATAAAGACTTCCAGCCTTGAGACACCACACTTGTCTAGGGTCCTTATGGGCCAGGATGGACTCCATGACAGGCGATGGGCCCATACGGATTTACATGAGACCCTGGTAGCGCACATGGATAAGCGCTTGACAAGTAGTTGAAAGACTTAACAAAAACACAAAACCTCAAACTCCCTGCCATTGAGTTTCCCCCGTGGAGCGGCTGGTGATTTCGAACTGCTGACCTTGCAGTTAGCAGTCCAAGGTGCCGCCGCTGCTCCACCAGGGCTCCCAGCGTCGCTACGAGTTGGAACGGACTCAGTGGGAATGAGTTTGAGCAGAAAGACTGGCACTTCAAGCCCCACCCCCACAACTCCCCACCCGGGAGAGGCACCTGAAAGATAGGTCTGGGGATCCGCTTCCAAAGGGCAACGGGAGACCGCGGTGGAGTCGTCAGCGGCGGCACACAGCAGTCGCCGTGAGTCCACACCACTCAGTGGCAATGAACCGGCAAGAACAGCACAGATTTGCTCGCTTCACAAACGTGAGATCATGCGGTATCTGTGCAGCTGACCCTGACCGGTTTCTCTCAGCACGGTTTTCTAGGCCGAGCCAGGTGATGGCACGCGCCAGGACATCCTGTCTCGTTAGGGTTGCGGCATATGCCATGCACCTATCGTCTCCTCTGCGTTCTGACAACGATGTGCGTGCTACTTGTATGCTAAAAGAATAGATAAGAACTTGGCTTTCTTTCTTGGAAAGCAGGGGGACACAGTCCAAAAAGAAGAGAGAACGAGAGAGAAGCTCCAGGCTGCCAAATCTCCGGCCGGCGAGATGGACCTGCTGACTCCTGTCACGTGGAATGTGTGCGCATGTGTGCATGCGTGTGTGTGTGTGTGTGTGTGTGTGTGTGCGTGTGTGTGTGTGGATGCCTTATGGCAGTGTCAAGGACTCCTTGTGTTTGGAAGGGAGACACTCCCAAAGGGAGACCTCCAAACCCAAACCCAACTCACTGCCAAACCACCCGTTTCTGGTGACTCCATTCTGCACATCGGCCCCAGTCCTGACTTAAAAAAAAATTTTTTTTAAAAACACAATGGCCTGCTTTGGGCCAACTTGTCTTTGCTTTTGACCCCATTATCAACTCTGGACAAACTGGTTTTAATTAAAAAGAAAAAAAGCCTTTGCTGACGGATGGTCTCATCCGCTTGGTGGTGAATGTGACTGCTCCCCAGCCACCCTCTCCTGCCTGTCAATGCCGATTCTGGCTGGACGGCTCCCTAGCCACTGTGTTTTTGGTAGACTGTCTTTTCCACTGAAATATCTGTAAGCCGTCAGCCTGGTCCTGGAAAAAGAGTGGGGCTGGCTCATCAGGCTGTGGGGAAGGAGTGCAGAGGCCTCCTGCTGGTGGGCGCAAAAGGGCCAAGGCCCTAGTTCCATGACCCTCTTGAGCGGGCAGGCAGGGAAACAGACACAATGGAGAAGAATGGGCGTTCAGAGGCAAGGCCATGTTGCCTTCCCCCAGAGGCAAAGGGCAGAAAGGTTGGTGTGTGTGAGCGTGCGGGGGTGCTTTGGGGACTGAGGCTTCTGCCGGGACATCTGCCTGAAGGTCCCTGTCCAGCCCTTGCGTCTGAGACCTTTCCCCTTTCCCCTCCCCCACCATCTGGGTGACACTAGAGCCTTTCCTGGCGGAGGAGGAAGACGGGAGACAAAAAGGGCAAGGGGTCACAGGGAGGGAGATGAAGTTATACATGGGGAGCAGGGGGAGAGGGCAGGATGGTGGGGTACACAGTGCCCAGCTGGAGACAGGGCAGGTCTCCAGTCTAAATGCCCACCCCTCCCGGCTGCATGCCCCCACCTGGTGGTGGGGGCCCACTGCCTATCAGGCAGAGCAGGAACTCCAAGACGGGCCCCTGGGCACTGGATGGGGTTCTACCAGCTCCCCACTTCCCTGCACAGTCCAGTGGGGGCCTCAGGGTCACCAAGGCCCCCACCTCCCCGTGACCACCCAGAATAAAAGCTGAGTACTTACTCTGCTGCTCACCCCAGCCAAAATAATTCCAGTTGCCTACAAAGAGAAGGGGCAGAGATAGTACACAGGGAGCAGGCAGACTGCCTCTCCTCCCTTCCCTTCCCCCGCCCCAGGAGCCCTCCTCCCCAGGTCTGAGGAAAATCGCTGGCCCTGGTCAGGCCGCCCCTCACTGAGCCCTCACCATCTTGAGGGGGAGGTGGTGTATCCCCATCTTTCATCGAGGACAGAGGCCTAGCCAGAGAGGGGCCAAGAGGCATTGGCCTCTGCCCTGAGCTTCGAAACACCCCTGGTGGGAAGGGATCTGCCATTCTCCTTACTTGACTTCATGCTCTGAAAGGCGGGGTGACTGTCTCCAAGCCTCCCAGCCGCTGTTCATCAGGGACAGGGAGAGAGCCACAGCTCCTGCACACCCCGCCCCCCCTTTTCCCAATGCTCACCATCTCTGAAAATGCCCTAGGGCGGAACCCCAATTCCTGTGGCCCTTGGCTGCCTCCTCTGTGAAACGGGGGTAACCCCAGAGGGACTTGGGGGAGGAGGGTAAATACTGGGCAAGGGGCGGGGGCACCGTTCAAGGTCAAGGACATTGTTCGAGGTCAC